TAATGTATCCCCTCTCTCTCTCTCCCTGTACCTTTCTGCAGGTAGCCCTGGCTCTGGAGCTAGACTGGCTACATCAACCTGCCCAGTGTTTTATTGTTTGTTGTTGTGTTTGCTGTGCCTTGTTGCTTTTTTTTTCTTTTCTCTCTCCTCTCTCCATCCACCCCGATCGGTCAAGGCAGAAGGCCACCCACCAAGAGCCGGGGTCTGTCGGAGGTTTCTTCCATTAAAGGAAGTTTTTCCTCTCCGCTGTCGCCAAGTGCTTGATCAAGGGGGATTTGTTGGGTTTTTCCTCGATGATGATAATAATAAGGTGATTAACCACCTCCTCCTTTATCCTATATCCACATAGTAAATTCCATCAAACATTTAACCCTTGTGTTGTCCTTGGGGTCATTTTGACCCCAAATTAAATCTTTTGCCATAAAAATGTTTTTTATTTAACAAATGGCTTGAAAATAACGAGGGTTGTTTGATACTATGCTCTTCGTGATTAAAATAAATTTGAAGTAATTTGGTTGAATTATGGGTGTTTTATTGAATTTAATAACTTCTGTTGTACCCTGGGGTCAAAAAGACCCCACAGCACAAAGTGGTGCAATGGAGAAAATTGCTGCACCATAATGCTTTCCAAAACATCTTTACTCTTGGATGTTTGATGTGTGGGGTCAAACAATGGTTATGTCAAGAAAAAAAACAGATCTTTTCTGGTGTTGGGGCATTTTACATTTTAGTCTGAGAGAGACAGGCAGCACAATGAGGACGCAGAAGCGCTATACTGTACAGCTTGTGAGCAAATGTTTGACCATGTTGTGGAAAATGAATGACCAGGAAGAGAATGCTGAACATGATGAGGAGGAAGAATCAGCTGATGAGGAGGATTCAGGGTCAGAAGAGGAGGAAAATAATGATGAGGTGATAGATCCAACACACAGACCAATGCTACTTCTTCCTCTGAAGAAGCCACCACATCGTCCGCTGCAGAAATGGAAGAAGCGTATGAAGTGAAGGAAAATAATGAACATGATGATGTAGAATCTGAAGCTGAAATGGAAGAAGTGTCAGACGCACTTATTATGATGAAGAGGAAGAATCAAGTGATGAAGAAGAATCTGAGGAAGAGAGATTGAATGTTTCCAGTCAAAGGATGAAACATTGCTTTGGTCTTCCATCCCAGTGATGGACGGTGCATGTTGACAGCAGAGAAAGCAGAGAGAGAGAGACAAGGCACCGTGGTACAACCGCATATACAAGGTCTCGTATTGATGACATAAAATCCACTTTTGACCTATTTTTGCTCAAGGCTATTGAAGAGGTGGTGCTGAACATGACAAACAAGGAGGGGCGAGGTGTGTATGGCAACAAGTGGAGAAAGTTGGATCAAATAGACCTGCAGGCATATGTGGGTATGCTGATTCTTGCTGGCATGTCCCAGTAAAGAAGCTACTGCTAGTTTATGGCATGCCGAGTCTGGTACCAATCTCAAGACTAATCCGATTTGATGATAAAAACAGACACAAAAGAAGATTGCCGTGCACAAGACAAACTTGCTCCCATTCAAGACGTATGGTTTCTTTCCTGCCATTAATGCATGATCCAGGCACTGATTGACTTGACAGGGTATTCCCCACACTCCAGCTGCTGCTAGATTGATTATGGATATCCAGCAGTTCTACTCCAGCACTACCTCTGCAGCAGCTCCCCCTTGCCCAGCTGCCCCTCCTGGCCAATCACTCAAAAGGGAGTAGGTGAAATTTCTTCCATTGCCAGAGTGATCTCAAAACATCGAAAATGTGCCAAAAATGCAATGCATGCATTGGCAAAGATTACGCCATTACTCACATGCAACTGAGGGCACATTCAGACTGTTTTTATTCTGATGTTAGTTTTGAAAAGTTAAATGTTTTGCAAATGGTGTATAAAATGCATATTTTATACATCAGGAAATGATTTGGAATAAAGTTGACTAAAAAGTTGAAACACAGAGGTGGATGATAATTTATACATTATGCTTTATAAACAGTCAAACCAGACGGGGTCATTTTTTTACCCCAGAGGACAAAAGGTGTATGGCAATCAGGAGGACATTACAAGGGCTAAACAATAAACTAAATTATAACAATAAACATACTATTTTCCGCAAAGTAGCCATCCAACTACAACTGCAAACATTTCAGGTGTCGCTGTTTTTGTATCAACAGTTCAAATCTGTAAATCTCAAAGTGAAACAGCTATGTGATTCTGAGAGGAACCAAGGCCCCATTTGCCATCAATCACAAGAGAATGGGAATGACACAAGGTTCAAAGCAAGGCTTCATTTAGAAACGCCCCCTCTGCTTGATACAAGCTTTAAGGCTTCCGTATCATATGTAAACTCGATATCTTTGACCACGTCAATTGACATTTCCCAGCCAGTAGCCCCAGGGGGCACTGTACACAACTAACCAGAATAAAGAATGATGAGGACACAGCCACAACAGTGAAACAAATATCTGACATAAAGTGACTGAAATATTTTATGCAAAATTAAGCTATGTTTTGAAAACGTAGCAGAGAATAAAGATATAGAACTCAATGTTAGAGACACAAGACACAAATAAGTATAAATATACCTTATTTTTCAAAGCATGTTCCCAGTATTGAAAACCAGTTTTTATTTCACCTCTTATTCAGAGAACTATTCACGTTAATGCAACCTTAAGAAAAGAAACTCCTATGTACATTCTTTCACATTTGAGAGCAAGTTATTATATTTCTTAACTGTACATATACACACCTGATACAGTGGCCAGAGAAATTTAAGAAGACTTTTTTTTTTACAATGTTAAAAACAAACGTAATTCTGATGTAGTGCTGGTTCATGTTTTAGATTAATGAGAAAATAAAGCCTGTAGGAAATATTTCAGTGGGATAATTTTAACATTCTGAACGCTGCAATTACATGAACTGGACATATTGCAAATATCTGTAAGTGTAATGTGTAAACATGGTCTGACATTGTACTAATCAGATGCCACAGAAAACTCTTAATCAGCTTTATCTGGCTTCCACTGAGCCATAACATGTTCCTCCAAGTACATGCTAATGGAAGATTTTCACATACTTCTAAAGATAAAGTACATGCATTTAGCTAGTAATAAGCTTGACTACATACAAATTCAGGTTTGTTAGTAATGGTTTCATCATGAAGCTTTACAAACATCTTATAACAGAAGGTACCTGGGCAAACATGTAACTTTGTTTTAGGGTAAACAAGAAACTTGTTTAGATCAACCAGGCAACTGAAAATGCTGTTTTAGCACTTTAAAGTTTTAAATTCTTTTTGAATATGCCACATTTGCCCAGGAAGTAGCCACACAGCCTAAATGATGTCAGCCTTAACATTTCTATTTAAATAAGTATAAAAACTGTCACTGTTAATAAATCTATATATATTGTTATACTAACTCTCTTTGTGCTACATGAAAAACTGACAGTATGCATTACGTACAAGCGAAAAAGCACTTTGGAGTAGACTTGTTAAAGAAACAAAGAAATGAACTTTTCAAAGACACTAAAGCTCTTCTTAAAAATATTAACATTTAACAAAGGTCAAAAGTGAATGTCAAAAACAGTATTTACTACTAGCAGCCACCGTTATTTACCTCCAACAGATGGTGGTGTTCTTTGGCTCTTATTCTTGCTTTTTTTTTTTTTTTTTTTTTTGCTAGACACAGATGTGTCTACATAACTTGAACAAGTTCAAATAACCAACTTATTTTTTTCACAAATTCCATACCTAAAATGATAAATCCCAACAATGACTCAGTAATCTGACAGTCAACAGGAGCGCATTACACATTTATGAATGAAAACTGGACTACAGGTATAAAAAATGGTCAGTCCTTAGTCCATTAGCAGTGTTTTGTAATATTAGAGATGACTTCCACGTTCTCCCTGACACAGAGCAGACAATATAATGGTTTGGTCTTGCCTAGTGCAGCACAGCTTACAGTCTGTCACAGTAAATAAAGTCCCTAACACTGCTGACTTGCCATGTAACCTATAACCAAACTTCCTTCCCAGTATTATGAACATGGAATGTCCAAATTACAGTGAGATGCATATTGTACCCAGTGAAGATTTAGATAAAAACATGAAACCTACATTACAGTGAAAATTTCCATCAAGTCAAATGGCTAATGAGTTGCATAAAACCATTTAACTTAAGGAAGAGGTTATAGGTAAACAAGATGCACTCCTACAACTTCATGTTTCTACTTTCATTCTAGAAAGCCTAAATGCGCAAGCCCTCACCAGCTTTAGAGGAACAATGATTACATGGCTATTTTGGTGCAGTAGTCATGCACAGTATGCTGGGGTAGGGTAAAAATCACAAGTCACAAGGCAAGTCATGTTTTTGTTGTGGGAGTAATGGAAATCACTGGCCTTTCAAACTTGATCCTCAGCACACAAAGCAGGCTTTGTATTTCCATCACACTGATAAAAATGTGGTTGTTAGCTAGGCTGGCTCTCCAGGGGTTTTCCTCATGAATGTGCATATGAGAAAGGTGTTACCAGGTAATCAGATTCATGTTTGGGCCATCTATCAGTCATGTATGTTTTAGTTATGAATCAGGTGATAATCAACTACATCTTACTGCTTATTGTGACTTGAGCTATGAAAACATCCGTTTAAAAATACAATATGCTATTGTGCTAATATCCTAATTGATGTTAAACTAACTGAAATGACTACAGTAAATTCAGGCATGTGGGTTTCCCACTAGTAGGTCTCAGCACACCCATACAACAAATCTGGACTCCTTCCCGATTAACAAAAGGTGTGACTGCATGATAATGATGGATAAGACTACAAGATTGTAGTCCTTTCACTCTTTAGAGAGACATTAGAGGGGACCTGTAGGCACTGAAAAAGACAGCCTTTCAGTCTGGCTCTTCCCTGCATAAACCCCCCCAGTGGATGCTCTGTGAGGAGCAGAGCAGGTAGGAAGGGACGATGATCAGCACTTGGGCAAGTTCAGTGCTGCTACCTCCAGTTTCATCTTGAAGTACTGGTTGAAGCGCAGGATTGCATATCTGAGAGCAGAGGCAAACATGGAGAAGAACGGCATCAGCAATAAGATAAAAATGTAGCCAGATGGATACCAGTACACAAACAACTGGAAGCTTAACATTTTCTTCATAAATATGTAACTAAATAATTTAAATCTGCTGGGCAGAGCAAAAACGTAATAGTTCATAATCAAGTATGCTTGCTTGTTTATTTCAAGATGGCAACCAACCCCAAAAAGTCAAAGTCGATGGTCGAGAACTTGGCCTGAATCAAAGCCCAGAGACCCCAGAAGAAATGGGATGCCTAGACACATACAGAGGGAGAGAGAGAGTGCAACAGGGAAACAAAGGATTAGCACATACATGCTATCTAAAAGAAAATGTTTGTTATACAAAACAGCTCACCCGAGCATGTATGAAGCCCTATGGCAAGGACACTAAAAAGTTGACATAGAAACAATAGCTTCACTTGCACGTCCTCAATGTGCCCTCTTTTCCTCTTGACAGTAAACTAACCAGAATGTGGCTCAGGGGAGAGGACTGAGTCCAAAGGGTTACATTTGGTCATTAAGAATGCCTCCCATATGATGGCTGCATCAGCAGGCATTTTCAGAGCAGGTAGTACAGGTTATAGCCCACATCACTCTGTATTGTTTAATCTACACTGCACTATAATCAGCTTTTCTTAGCCCAAGACTTGACAGCAGGGATGAAAATCAACTTGGATCACATTGCCAGGACCCTGACTGCACCCTGAACTGTTCACTTTCATTTTGACCACTAAGGAAAGGGCTATGTTAAAGCAGATATTAACTGAGCAGGCACAGAGCAATACCTGAACCATACAGTGCTGTCAAAGCTTAGATGAACTTCAATGCTTTTCACTAATGGCAAAATATAGTACTGTAATATGTTAATTCAATACTTTGACATGAAATTTTTTTAAGATTCTGTCCTGGTAAGATAAACAGTTGGTAAACGGTTTTTATCAGTCTTCACTACCCACAAACCAATAAAAGGTTAGTCCTTTGACCCTTTATAATGCAGTCATATTAAGAATGCAACCAGAAACTGTCACATCTTGGTTTACAACTCAAATCTTGACCATAACCACATGCAGGTATAATCCAATGTACAGTAGATTATAATACATGTGTACAAATGCTTACCAGTGCAAATTGGTTGACTTGGACATAAAGAATCTCCACCTCTTTGTCAGTCACATCACTGCCTTGACCTTTATGCTCCTTGTAAGCTTCTAGGTAGGAGCAGAGCCACTCCAGTTGAAAGGCCCGCTCTGGATAGTGACTATAATCCACCTCATTCAGGCCTGGAACACAAACGCACAAGTTAAAAAATCATATATGGGTTAACATTTCATACACACATCTTGCTGCATGCATCAAGAAGCACAGATTAAACATACCAGCAAACTCGTTGAAATGGTTCCCAATGTCGTAGGCTTGGTAATTGTACCCAGCATATTCATAGTCAATGAACTTTACATTGCCTGGAAAAAGAAGCAGCATTGTTTAGATGGAGACACAGGAAAGCAAACATAAAATGATTAAGGTGTGTTTTCCCTTTGATAACTCAGAATGTCATGCCTTTTCATTTCATATTTTCTTCCTATTTAACTGGACTGGCTGGCTAGTCAGCTGATTTTAGGGCAAGGAGTAAGAGTTTGCATTTTGAGGAAAGTAGACTGAAACAAAAGACGTCAGCACAGAAAAATGAAAAAGGAGAATTAAGAGAGATGCATTAGACTAAAGAAGTAGTCTGGAAATAACAGCTGAAAAACACCACACAAAAACAGCTATGCTGTTAAATTTGGAGAAGTTGCATATTCCAAATAAAAATCCTGTTAAGTAGACAAGGGACATTCTATGCTTTTATGTTGTCTGTGCCATTTAATTTAAGTATACTGTATACAAGGGAAGCAATCCAATAAACAGCTGTCAATCCCCAGTGATATCTAAGATAAAAGAATAGATTTGACAGTAGCTTCTTCCAAAAACATCTCAGAACAGGCAGCCAGGATACATTAACAGAGATGCCTGATGCAAGACATGGGAAAATGAGAACTGGCTTTGCAGAGAATGTTTGCTTTGGATACATGCATAGAATAAAGGGAAAACATCCAAAGTCTTGCTAAGAAGGGAGTGAGAAAATGGAAAACAAAGCAGAAGGACAAAAGGAAGAAGATAGCAAAATACAAATGGTCTGTAGGAAAGTAAAATGAGCTGTACAGCAACACACTGTTTGATACATGCTCTCTCAGAACTTTGACAAAGCAAAACATGCTGACAATAACTAATCCAATTAAGGTTAAATAATAAATATAAATGCATTCTCAGCATCTACAAAAGTGTCCATCAGTGAAAATAACAGAAGATAAAAGCTGACCGTCTTCTTGAAATTCTGATGCTAGAGCATGGAGAGGGAAGGTCAAAGAATGTGTTGCTGTCTGAGTGCATGTGTAGGTCACTGAAAGTGTGACATGTCTGTATTAATAATGAATAAAAGAGGGAAGCATTCAGTGACAAAGTGGCTGATCTCAAAATACAAACACTTACTTTCATAAGTCCAATTGCTGCAGTAGCATTAGCTAAAATTTCCAAATTTGAAAGGATAAATTTAATTAAATGTCTCTACTCTTAAATGTTTGGGTTTGTGTTGGCCTTGGCTAACTCCTTTGACCTAATATGTGGATCAATATTTCCTGAGGTGGTGCTGGACTACAAGAAAGACACTTTGAGGTGGGTTACCAGCCGGCGTGTAGGTCCTAGCGGGACACAACTGAACACCTCCGGGCAGTGGCTATAGCCCCCTGTGCAGCAAATGAAAAGGTTGGGGCAAACAACTTTCACACATGCTCCCTCTCTCACTGACACATTTGTCTTTTATCCAGACTTGTTCCCCTGCAGTGTCAAAACATCAGGCCTGTTGCCAACCTGCATTCCTTTGCCCTGATTCCCCGCCCCCAATTCCATTGGCTGTAAAACCACAAGCATGACACTTCTGCTGATTCTGAAATGACAGAATCTTTGAGAAGCTCCCGGCAGGCTGCCTGAGCTGCAGATTTTGTTGACCCGGGGACAAAACAAAACATATGGGTAAAATGAGGGGAGCAGGCAAACTAAAGAAGCCTGCACTGGAGGCTGAGAGACCACGCAAAGGGAGACAGAGAAGAAATGTAAAAGAGAATTTGTTGAATGTATAGTTTAAATTTTTAAGAACTATCTTAAGAAAACAGTGAGAAACATGTTCAGGCTTCTACCACTTCTGTTTATGGTTTTATCAATACAGGAAGTGGCAGTTTCTCTGCTGCTGTGTTTGGCAGACAAGCCATTTCAACTCAACTACAGCTGAGCAGAAGTGACAGGAAGCAGTGTGCTAACTGTTCAGCTTCATTCCATGCTTACTCCGTTTCTCAACTCAACAAAAGGCTGTAAGTGCAGGGTAAAACAGATTGTTTAACAACGGTGTGGACAGCTTGAGTGGACAGTCAGATGTAATAATCATGGCCTGGACTCTACTGTGGTGTCCATTACACTATGGCTGTCATTTGTATAGTGGTCTGGCTGTGTTTGCATTAAGACGTGATTATACTTGGATAAGGTAAAATTCCTTTTGTTAATATTACTTCCAAACAGAAGTACTGATAACCACAGGCTCTTTTGTCTTACTTATAGAAGCCCGAAACATGATTCTGCAAACATGCAAATCCTTCATGCACAGACCTCTACATCCATACAAGAGATCTATACTTAACTGATTACATTAGAATATGGCCCATTACAAATGCTACATTTGTCAAAATTTAATATGCTAAATTTTAAGGAGTTCCACACTGGGTGTTGGCCCAGTCCTCCTGATACAGAATAATTTCCCTTGTGGAACTAATCAGCATTTGTTTGATACGCAGAGTCACAGATTCAAATGAGATCCTGCTTTTGCAAACTAGGATTACCAAGACACTCATTTCATTGCCTATGTGCTTAGGCAAAGGTATTTTCTGCATTTTTGCAGTAGTATGTTTCAGCTTTAAAAAATTAGGCTGATGATATTCTATATTATTCTTAATCCCAACAAAACCCATGAGAATACCAGAACAAACAATGCATTAGGTTGTCTCTTTCCAACTCACCTATCTTTTAAAATCAATGTTAGGTTGATTTTCAAGGGATTTGTTAACAGTTAGAAAAATACATCATATCATTAAATATATTCACTTTTATGGTCTGACCAGAAATCAGCTTTGAAATAATTGTGGAGGATGGAGCTGTGGCGAAATGAAGCTTTACATTTTTGCATTCGGCTGACTGGAGTGATTAAAAGCAAGTGCAAACCATAAAAACAATTGTGTAATAACCAGTATCATAAGTAGCCTAGCCATAACATGTCAGAGGGAACTGGTGGAGGGTGACAGGTAGGTACATGGTTCGTGCCGTGCCATGAACTCATCCCGATTAGCCTGAGCAGTGGACAGACTACGTGAGGGCCCTCAGAGCCGACTGTGCGCGAGGTTTGTCTCTCTCCATTGCCTCCCCAGGGCAGGGCGGCGCAGGGCAGCCACAGCCTCAGCTGTCATTCCTAGGGGAGAAAGGCTAGACACAAGGAGCTGTGAGAAGGGCCTCGCCCCTCATCGCAAATTGACGAGGGGTTTGACAGCTCTTAAACCCTCCCATAAACACCCACGCCCCACATCCCACATATATAAAAAAATCCTGAACTATCCTCTTGACCCCTTGCTTCTTCTCTCTCATCCGTTTAACCTGTGATTCCACTGCTACAAAAACAATGCTTACAACAATTTCACTGGTACCAATATAATTCAAGTCACTCAGTGCAAAAGTAAGCTATATGTTTGTCTGAGGACATGCTGCTTGACAATCGTACCATCAAAAAAATAGGCAACATTGCTAAAGCACAAAAAAAGAGAAACATGGAATGTGACATGATGTAATGGTATTATTTGTTCAGGCTGATAAGAGTGGTTTATATTCAGGATAAAACTAGAATGCCAGATCAGACAAACCTAATATGGAATCCATATTACTGGCTTCAATTTACACTCATTTATGAAAAAAGTATAACCAAAATCTGACTGATGTGGTGTTTTAATACATCTTTGCATTCACAAAAAAGTAGATTTTGGAAGAAGGTAAACAATTTAACATACCACTGCGGTGTGTGCGGCGTTCACCTTATTTCAGGAGGATTCCATCTACAACATCAGCATAGCATCCAAACAACTGGACTGTTGTGTCTGACCATTCTAGTTCTATGCACGCAACCAATTTGAAAACACTGACAAAGAGTGAAGCATGTAACTAGGGTTGAGGAACTGCAGGGAAGGCACTCCTACCTGTGCATTGAAACCTATGTAGATCACACTACAACAAAGTTCAGTCACACATTAATGTCTCAGACTACACTTGTGCAGTTTATACTCACCTGTCTTCTGGTTGTAGATGATATTTTTGCAGAGCAGGTCATTGTGGCAGAGAACTACAGGGGAACCCAGCACAGACAAGCTCTGCTGGAGCCACACTAGCTCTTCTTGGAGGCACTGTGGGCCGGGCACCTCTGTGCTTAATCTGGAGAGGGAACCATGTCACAGAGGGATGAATACATTGAGAAGTAGGGGCATTATGAGTATTAATGGAAAGACAGATGAAGGTAAAATCAGTATGAAGAACCTGAAAGCACAGTTGGAAACAAAAGTGAGGCTGAAGACAGAAAGAGAAATTAAGAAGCAATACAAAGGGTGCAAAGGAACCACAATACAGTATATCACAGAAGTGAGTACACCCTCTCACATTTTGTAAATATTTAAGTATATCTTTTCATGTGACAACAGGGAATACTGGGGTGTACTCACTTTTGTTGCCAGCAGTTTAGACATTAATGGCTGTGTGTTGCGTTATTTTGAGGGGACAGCACATTTACACTGTTATACAAGCTGTAGACTCACTACTTTACATTGTAGCCAAGTGTCATTTCTTCAGTGTTGTCACATGAAAAGATATACTTAAATATTCACAAAATGTGAGGGTGTGTACTCACTTCTGTGATATACTGTATGTACTCTAATTTTACAGGCCAGCATTGCACAAAACTGTTTTAGCAAAATTGGGAGAAAAACAAAAAATGATTTATTCTTTATTGCAGTCAGCATAAAAAAAGAAGCCACATGATCTATTAATACAACTGCAAATACAGTTCTCCACGAGGCCAAACAACTGTCTCACAAAAACCTAATTTGAAAAAAAAAAAAAAAAAAAAAAAAAAAGTGTAATGTAACTGACAATAAATGTAGGCATCATAAAAACTAAGGGGTCAACTAAAATCCTCCAAGTATGATTTCTAGAATAATCCTTGCACTTTTCTTCAGCCCTCATTGCTATTTATCAGAATCAGAATCTGCTTTATTGGCCAAGTGTGTCGGACACGCGAGGAATTTGACTCTGGTACATCTGATCTCAATGTGTATGTACATATCCCCATGCAAGGGGCAAGTAAACTGTAAACCAGCATAAGGCTGTGTAATATAACATAATAAGCTGTATAAACAGGCAGTAAACAATGCAGGCCCACTGAAATGAGATAAATAGGAATAAAAATAGAGTAAATCTGTACAATGTATATTCACAGGTATTGTACTGAGGGTTATTGTCCAATCATACTGTCGTGGGTCATATGCTCATCAGAGTGACAGCCTAGAGGACAAAACTGTCCCTGTGCCTGGTTGTCTTAGTGCACAGTGACCTGTAACACTGTCCAGAGGGGAGGAGTTCAAACAGATTGTGTCCAGGGTGTGAGGGGTCTGCAGTGATCCTCTCCACCCTCTTTTTTGACCCGTGAGGTGTACAGGTCCTCCATGGAGGGCAGGCTCGCACCAATGACCTTTTCTGCAGTCCTGACTGTCCACTGAAGTCTGTACTTGTCCTGTTTGGTTGCTGAGCCAAACCAGACAGTGATGGAGGTGCAGAGAACAGACTCGATGATTCCTCTGTAGAACTGTATCAGCAGCTCCTGGGGCAGGTCGAACTTCCTGAGCTAGCACAGGAAGTACATCCTCTGCTGTGCCTTCTTGATGATGGTCCTGATGTTGGATGTCCACTTCAGGTCCTGGGAGATAGTGGAGCCCAGGAACTTTTAGGACTTTACTGCTGATACAGTGCTGCCAAGTATGGTAAGTGGGGGTAAGGTGGGAGGGCTCTTCCTGAAGACCACTGTCATCTCCACTGTTTTGAGTGTGTTTAGCTCCAGGTTGTTGCGGCTACACCACAGGACCAGCTGCTCAACCTCCCGTCTGTAGGCTGACTTGTCGCCATCTCGGATGAGACCAATGACTGTTGTGTCATCTTCAAACTTTAGGAGCTTGACAGAGGGGTCCTTCGAGATGCAGTCATTGGTGTAGAGTGAAAACAGCAGAGGGGAGAGTACACATCCCTGGGGGGCACCTGTGCTTATTGTCCGGGGGCTGGATGTGGTTTTCCCCAGCCTCACCTGCTGCTTCCTGTCTGTCAGAAAGCTAGTAATCCACTGACAGGTGGAGGCAGACACAGTGAACTGGGTTAGTTTGGAGTGGAGGATGTCCGGGATGATGGTGCTGAATGCTGAGCTGAAGTCCACAAAGAGGGCCCGTTGCATAGATTCCTGGGGAGTTGAGGTGTTGCAGGATGTAATGCAGTGTCATGTTAATTGCATCGTCCACTGACACATTTGCCCGGTAGGCAGGGGGTCTACGATGTCCTTCAGGTGGGCTAACACCAGTCTTTCAAAGCACTTCCTAACCTCATGTCAGGGCGACAGGTCTGCAGTCGTTCAGTCCACTGATGGAGGTTTTCTTTGGGACCGGGATGATGGTGGAGCATTTGAAGCAGGAGGGGACTTCACACAGTTCCAGTGACCTGTTAAAATGAGTGTGAAGATGGGGGCCAGCTGATCAGCATATACTTTCAGGCAGGAGGGGGTCAGAGTGTCGATGGTCAGGGGAGCAGCGGCTGGGTCTGAGGTGGGGAGGGTGAGGGGGGAGTGTTGTTTGTCAAACCTGCAGCAGAACACATTCAGGTCGTCTGCTAGTTGACAGTCCTCCACAGCAGGGGGGATGGTTTCCTATAGCCAGTGATGCTTTTCAGGCTTCTCCACACAAACGAGGGGTCGTTGGCTGAAACCTGAGCTTTCAGCTTTTCAGAGTAGCTCCTCTTTGCTGCTTTGATCTCCTTTGTCAGTGTGTTCCTGGCCTGGCTGTACAGAGTCCTGTCCCCAATTCTGTAAGCCTCCTCTTTGACACAGTGAAGCTGCCCGAGTCTTGCTGTGCAGAAGGACGTTTTGGGCAGGCACGCACGCACACACATCCTTATGCCTGGCAGCATTTTTCGTCCATTTACATTTTCTAGAAAATGCCTTTATTAAAAAGGACAAACTGATGAAAACTGCCTTTTTCATGCTGCACAATTCAGTTTAGTTAATTGATTTATCTGACAAGCAGTTACATCACAGCTCACTGTCATCTGTAGGACCTGATCAAGGCACATTGAAAAAATATTCTGGCACACAAAATGGAAAGCACAACATTTAATCCATAAGCACTCCACCCATTTGTTTTGGACTTCAACACATGAGAGCCTAGAGATACTGTGGGTATTGTAGTCTTGTATCAGTACTTATCTCATAGTATTAAATATGGGTGGCCACCAGGGAAAGCAACAATCTGTAAAAGTCAATATTTGCTTTGTTTTTATTTTGGGTGCTAATATCCATCCAGACAGTTTACTGCCAAAGCACCCCGAGTGCATAAGTGAATTACAATAACTCATGAACCAGTTTGCATGTGGTGAAATGTGTGTTCTTTTAGGCTGGTACTGGCACAATGTGAATAGAGGGAAACTTAAGTAGTCTACATATTTAGATGAAGATCTGAATGGAGTTAAGTAATGTAACAATGACTTTCCTTCTATGAGATAAGAAAATGACTCCTCCTCCTCTGGAGAGCAGAAGCAAATATAAACAAACCATCTATGACAGACCTTGTTAATTACACCATCTTTTTTTGTTTACATAAAATAATTTTCAAATATATATTTCTGATGCTGCTCTTTTATGCTTCATGGCTTAGACAGAAAATGCCAAAAACCACAGCTATAAAGCCAACACTGCTGAGGTTATGAAAGAAATTCCACACACTTCTTCAGTCATGTGAACTGGTTAGTCAGTCAATCATGTTAGGGTGGTTGACTGGATCATTTGTGACTCAGTGATAAAAGAGGCAGCAGTTCATAGTTCCACAAGGAGGTAAATGAGAACAGAAACTTCCAAGAGTCAATGCTGGATGTTCCCAAAAATGCAATTAGGGCTCATTTTCTTCTTCTTTTTTCAACTATTCAACCTTGTTAAATAATATATTTGCACTTCATGCCATAATCAGTCTTACCAGTTTCATACTATCCACTAAGATTTTTTTTTTATACTTCCAATCCCGATTTCACATCACCACAATCTGGATTTGTGAGTTTGTCATTGCTTTCTGTTTAGTTCATTTAAGTCTAGGTGCTAAAATGATATTATTTGCATCATTTAAAAAGAGTATCAGGGAAAACTCAGAGCTACATCTCACAGCTACATTTAAGGGTCTGCCAGACTTAAGACTTCAGTCATTTGAATCTCTCTTATATGTTCTTACCTGGCATTCTGCTCAGTGTCTTTGAAGTACTTTGGTATGAGAGCAAAGTACTTGCCCAACTTCAGCCACAGGTCAGACTGGGGGACCCAGCCATTATGGGCATGGATGGCATGGTATTTGGCCAGTTGTCTGGCAATGAGCCTGCAAAGTAGAATACAGGGAAAATATTTGTATTATATTGCCACAGCATCAGTACCAAAACAGAAGTTATCCCGCCATGGGAGCATTTCAATTTAATTTTAACAACAAGATAAATCATATGCATATTCATAATGAAATGAAACACATTCATTGTCTTGTCACAGGTGTATTTAACTGCTTTACAGAATATGCTTGTTTTGTTTTAACAAGAACATTCAATTCTTGGTACTGGAGACATTACTCATATTTCCAAATGTAAAAACATACACAGTGACATCCGGTCACACAGTTGAAATTTGTAAGTCATTAATTTGCATATTACACAGAGGGGCAATAATTTTACTTTAATTCAGTTTTATTTGTATAGTGCCGAATCGCAACAACAATCATCTCAGGACACTTTACAAAGTAAGGTCAAGGCCTTACTATTACTACTAGTAGTGTTATTCTTTTTATTATTATTAAATTATTATAGAGAATTACACTATTACAAGCAACATATGAGTCGAACCCACATTTCATTTTTGAAGAAACACCAATTGTTTAACCTATTGAGCTACAAACATAAGGGAGAGTCGAGCTACTTTACAGTCTATTGTACACTTTTACTGGGCTTACAAATTCCTACAGTAACTTCTTTTGACCACTAGGTGGTTTTGTTTCATATGCTCACTATGAAAGTTGGCCTTTCATTTTGTCAATGAAAGAAAGAAAGAATGGAGAGGAGAAAATAAAATAAATAACTAGATTGTTGGTAGACAGATTTCTTATGCTGATATGGGTACTTGCTGCAGACCAAAACATTTTTACCTGAAAACTGGTAGGCTGCGAATATGTTTAGGCTCCAGTGCTGTTCCTTGCAGAAATTCATAACACAGGCCATTGTTGAAGGTACAGTAGAGGCGCGGTGCACATCGGTGAGTGTGTAGTACTCTGAAGCTTTTCACCTCATTTTCCCGGTCGATCAACAGTTCTGTTTTGTTGCCATAAATACGAACCAGAACCACATCTTGCATGACTGCACCCACATAGCAGCCCAGCAACTTATTGGTTATTCCATCTGTGAAAAACTGCAGGGACAAATAGAGGAAAGAACTGAGAAGAGGCAAATTGGTGTGGTCGCAACCCTTATTTGTCCTGTGCTTAAACATTCTTCCATAATGCCTACAGTTTGACGACAATAGGACCATCCTTCAAATTATGCTATTTAAGTAGTATGCCTGAAACCCTTCATTGGTGACTATTTCACAGCCTCTATGATGAGTCATAATCTGGTAAACAACTGGAGACAATGAAAAATATAAAGGATGAAAAATAATATAGGTGTGCCCTGGCTGATATAACTGTGTCAGTTGTGAAGCCAAGAATACATTTAGGGATGCTGGTGGGGTGCATGAGCACCTCATCTGTGATTTGTTCATTGTATAAGACACTGAGTGAGAATCTCTGGCGACTGTGGGTCAGTGGGGTAGAGCAGTCGTCTCGCAACCGGAAGGTCAGCGGGTCGAACCTCGGTGCCTGCCACATGTCAAAGTGTCCTTGGGCAAGACACTGAACCCCCAAGTTGCCCCCTGACGGTTATAGCCATCGGCTGAATAGGCACCGCAACTGGCTGCCTCGATTTTGTACCGGAAACAAATTCCTTGTGTGCAACAAACTTGGTGAAATAAAGGTGATTATAATGACAGCACTGTGAGGAAGTGAAGAATGTCATTTAACATGAGGAAACAATGGCTAGCATTTGCTGAGTTTCCAAATCTCCTATCTGTTGCTGGAAAAGAAAATGGTTCCGTTTCTGGGTATCTGTACAGGCTGTAATCTGCCAGTCTTAATGGACATCTCTACACAAATGTAATGTAATCTAAGAGATAACAGTGCCTTTGTTGTTTGTATTATTGTAAAATAAGGCCTCTTAAAACTTTGGTAGCCCAAACAGGACACTTAAAAGATTAGACTAGAGAAATGCATTTCCTGTCGAAAATGCGTGTGGATGCTGATATACTGAAGGACCGCCCTGAAAATGCCTGAAAAGTTGAAAAAAACCTGTTGAATAACTGAAAGATGAAAAAAATATGAATAACTAGAGAAATGCATTTACTTCAGAAAATGCGTGTGGATGCAGAGTGCTGAAGGACTGCCCTGAAAATGCTGAACATTTTGACACCTGTTTGGCTGTTCTAGCTGAAAGTATTCTGAAGTAAAATTTTCCCACTCATTTGAATGGGGCAAAATTTTCAGAATAAAGCTAAGTATTTTAAAAAGAATGAAGTTTAAAAAAATTTGGAATAGAAGCATGGATGTCCTTGAAGATCTGAACATTTTGATACCTGAAATAGCTGAAAGTATGCCGAAGTAGAATTTCCCCATTCAATGGGGCAAAATTTTCAGAATAAAGCTAAATGTTTTGATTTTTGAATTTTTTTTTTTTTTTTAAGATTTTGAAAATCAGGCACGTTTTGGGGTTTTTATGTGAGCTTAATTTACAATTGTGCTTTTATTTTGAAATTCTGGCATATTTTAGGGACTTACTTTGAAGGCAGACCAACCTGTGTCTGTGTTTGCATGTGTGTGTATGTTGGTGTGCGTTACTGCACATCACTGTATTGCTTTGATTGCACATGTATATGTTTGGTTTTTATTTTGCGTGTGTGTGCTATTCTGTTGCCGTTTGTGTGTGTAAAAGTAGCAGGTGCATTATTAAGTAACTCAGCAGTTTGAGGACACTGCAGCAGATTTCAAACATGGGCTTCGAACAACTGAGAATGGAAGAAAAAGTTGGTCCTGCGATGGGCTGGCGACCTGTCCAGGGTGTACCCCGCCTTTCGCCCGCAGCTGGCTGGGATTGGCTCCAGCCCCCCGTGACCCCGTTTGGGACTAAGCGGTTTAGAAAATGGATGGTATAAGTCCTATCGAAAAAATCTCGACTATGAGCGGCAGGAGGTTTCAACAAAAATGTTGATCACCTTTATGTCAAGATATTCCACAAAATAAAGGAGCTGTGGTGATTTATAAATACCCTAACGTTTGCTTCGAGGGTATTTTCTGAATCATCTTTTTGAAGTCTATGGAAGTGAGGTGGTGCACTCTGGAATGTACGATGTAATTCAAAAACCGTTCATACTATTGCAATAACAAGGCCATTTTCTGATTCCTTACAATGCCATTTTCATGTATAATTTGTATGTGAAAAGTTAAGGTTGGCAGAATAAGAGCAGAAAACAAGCTGAAAAATTGTGATGGCTGAAGGACAGAGCTAGAGTGCGGGTCATGTGACACTAGCAGAGAAATTTCCAAAATCACCATAAAACTAACTGTGAGAATTCAAAATTTGTAAAAGATATCAAAAAGCAAAATACATGTTTTAATAGCTGAAGAGTTGCTGAATTGTCTAAAGTTGGAATGGTTTTTCTAGCTGAAACTATGCTTAACTGGTTAAGGCTGAAAGAGGAGGAGGATTTGAAGAGCTTCCCATTCATTTGAATGGGGCAAAAATTTCTGAACAAACCTGAATATTTTAAAAAGTATAAAAGTTACAAAAAATATTGACAATTGTAATATTGTCCTTAAGAAGCTGAACATTTTGATACCAAAATGGCTTTTCTATCTGAAAGTATGTTGAAGTTAAAGATTTGAAGATTTTCTCATTTATTTGAATGGGCAAAATTTTGCTGAAAAGAGCTAAATAGTTTAAAAAGTATGAAGTTTAGGAAAATTCTGAATAGATGCCCACATGTCCTGAAAAAGCTGAACATTTTGATATCTGCATGGTTTTTCTAGCTGAAAGTATGCGGGAGTAGTTAAGCGGCTGCTGACTCAGCATCCATACAATAAATAAAGACCAGGATAACAATAGTGTGGCTGCTGAATCAGCATCCACACAATAATAAATAAAGAATAGGAAAACATAGTGTGGATGCCTTTCAGCATCCACAAATACAAGCTGAGGGGCAGTGGTCACGCTGCACACATATGCACATTGCAGCAGGCGCACTGCAGCAATGCATATATTGGTGCATGAAACAAAAGAAAGGAATAGACGGGGACTAAATAAAACTTTTGAATAATACTGATGATCTTATTTTGACTCAAACATTACAGACTCCTGTAGATGGACATAAGAAATTTCTTTAGCGGAGGTCAAGACAGGGAAGAAGCTTGGAGAGAGGAGGGTGAGAGAGGGAAGACTTGGTTGTAGTTGGTAAACAAGGTAACACTGGTTTACTTAGCCTAGCTAAAGCATAACTAGGCCTTGATGTTGAATGTTAAGTAAACTGCATCATAGGATTTCATGTACTAGCCTACATGAAATAAAATGAATACCAAGTATGTTGCATAATACATGACATGTAGCAGTCTATGTTAACCTTGGACTATTCATTCAGCATTTAATGAATAGCTTATAATTCTTAATGTTCTTGCCACACAGACCAAATTATGTTTGTTTTATGCACATTTAACAAACAGGTGAACCTGAGGCAAGAAGGGAAACTGTGGAGGATGCCGTCTCTGGAGATAGATGTGTCACCACCAGCCATCCATTGCACAATACAGTTTTTAAGTAGGTGGAACACTAATACATTATGTGGCCTCATAAGTTACAAAAAATTTGATTGTATTTTTTTATTCGTTATTTGTTGATAAGTTAACTTGCTGTGAAAGTTTAAATTTGACTAATCAAACTGGGGCTGCCTGACAATAAAATTATTGTGAATTGCAGACAAATGAAAACAAATGTGCAATACAGGGCCAAACCATTGCCATAAAAATATTGAGAAAGTTCTTAATGTATGTTGTAATAAATATTTTCATAAAGATGAATATCTCTACAATTTTACCTTTATCAGTTTCAGCAGCAGCATTATGGCAGCGGAATAGTGGGCTAAGCAAGGGAAGTTCATATAGTACAATGTATAGCACATTTCATTCATGCAACAGGCATTCAAGAAAAAATGTGTGATTTAAGTAAAAAGGGAACCTATGCCCCAGTAGAGATTTATGTCTAGCAACGCCCCTGTTCATCACCTCTCCAAACAGGTCCTATCCCGCGTAACATTCATACGGATCATACAATTTTTAACTGATCTTTAACTTCGCTGAAACGCAGAAGAACGGGTCTGACTGAATTTGCAGGCTGTGCCAATGGTGAGGCTCCCACCATTTTTTGACGCAGATGCTAACGTTATTTGCAAAGGCAAAACTTTAACCGTAAAATTACTGATGTATCCCCGGAGCTGTAATATAGCGAGGAAAGTATGCACCATCTGTCTATGTATGTCAACAGCCATTTTATAGTGACATTAGCGTGACATTTCAGGTGGGCACGGTGCCATTACTTGGCTAGCATGGTGTACGTGACACTAACGTTACTTCCTGGAACCCATTATCATTTGTGTCATTAGCATCAACGTTACATAAGTTTCACATGGGCACCCCTTGCTAATGTTGGACTCAAAATGATTGTGTTTTTCAATAAGTTGTAACTAAAAAGGAATGATTCAAGCTATAGGAAAATGCCGAGACATGTTATATCAAGTACCCTAGCCGTAAAATGTTAATGATAACATAAAACGCACCTTCACTTTGATCTCGGATGGCTTCCACATTGGTCGCAGCTCCTTGAGCAGCTTCAGTGCACCAAGTCTGTAGTCATTCTCGTCAACTGTCACGTCTATTTTAAGAACAGTCGGAGCCTCGTCTGGTACGTGAATGTACTTGGCCATGGCTAAAACTTTATTTCTTGGAATATGTCACGCTCTCAAATTCTGTTGCGTAGCCTACTGCAAAATGCCAGATGCCTGAAAATACCAACCAGCTATATAACCTCTGAGTACTCAGTTTTACGGCGACGCCTCAAAAACAAACCCACCCACCTGGAAAAAAAAAGTTCGCCCGATGCATGCTGGTAGTCGAATGAGTCACTAGAAGCGAGTGTTTACGTTATCATCGTGCACCGCCGGCGGAGCTTACAAATAAAATATATTTACGTGTGGAATATTTTTAAAACAATATTTAACACCAATAAAAACAAAATACATAAAATACATGCAAGTACAAAAGTGTGACTGAAACTGCTTAATAATAGCGTACTAATAATAATTCAAGTCGATGCCGGTGGTCCGTGTGAATACAAGCAAACGCACACTTACTGCAGCCGTAGCCTACTAGGCTGCTGACGTTACATCCGTGAAAGTGCGTCATGTTTAATTTGAATTACACTTTAAGGTAATCCGGCTTTCGAGTTACAAGGGTCTACAAGTGACATAATAGCTGTCAGTTAGTGGTGGGCAAGTGAAGCCTCATGAAGCACTGAGACTTTCCTAACAATTGTGCCGAAAACGATTCAAAGCTTCAAGACTTCAGTGACGGTGACATCTGGTGGACAACTGAAGCCATAGCAGCCTCTAAAGA